GAGTTACCGGAGATAATTACGAAGCGGACGCATAGCGGAAAGAGCGGATGCATAGCGGATAAAGCGGATGCATCACGTACGCCTAACGGAAACAAAGGGGATTCCGAGCGGATGTATATAGGATGCAAACCGTTCACTGCGCATGCGGGGGGTATGAATTGCGTCCGCTCTGTGGATATAAAGGGATGCAGCACGCACAAAAGGTCGGTACCCAGACTCAAATAATCATATCTGATTGATACACGTCCGTAAAAACCCAATTACACACATGGGCCTCAATCCTTACGTAATACCTATTGTTCAGGGGGGATGAATGAATAGATCATCCCCCCTGAACAATAGGTATCAATTACAGATTTACGTCCATGGTCACACACATACACGCAGTCAGCATAAAGCGGAAAGACGTGATGGCGGCTACATTGATACATCTCTACTACATCTCGTTATTGAAGAAGGCTACATTGATACATCTCTATACTACCTCTCGTATCAACACCATGGTGCGTCAGTCAGGCAAGAAAAGGAAGTCCGTGCCTACTCGTTCAAGCCCTGGCAAGGTGAAGAAGGCCAGAACCAGCACCCCACCCCCTGACACTGACTCTGATGGTGAAGCTGCTGCTGCATGCTGTGGTGGACCAGCCCCAAGGCCCTCAAGCCCCTCAAAGCCCTGCTGCTCAAGGCCCTGATGTTCATTCAAGCCCCAGAAGGCCCTGATGTCGAAGCCCCTGAAGGCCCTGATGTTCAAGCCCATGACGGCCCTGCTGAAGCCCCTGAAGGCCCTAAACAAGCTCCAGCCAGAGGGATGAAGAGGCAATTATAGAAGAAGAAGGGAGAGAGGAAACAGTACACCGTTTCCGAGGAGCATGAGGACGATGTGCTGGAATGGCTGAGGGAGAACGAGTTCCTCTGGAGAAAGGGCCACAGGCTGTATCGGGACACCAAGAAGAAGCAGGCAGCTTGGAGAGACAAGGCAGAGAGCCTGGGGTACACTGCAGAAGTACTCCTTGGATGATGGAAGCACATGCACTCCTGGTATGGGAAGCTACACCTCAAGAAATCCGGGCAGGCTGCCGTCAAGCTCACTGACCGGGAGAAGTACGTCATGGCCAAGCGCAGTTTCCTGGAAGGTGAGATCCGCCACCGAGGAGCAGCCCCTCTGAGACCCCTCTCCCTCAGACAGCCCACAGACAGCCAGGCATCTTCAAGCCAGGAGCCCTCGACAGCTGAACCCCCCATGGTGCCGAACTTGGAGGATCTCGTGGAGGATGACGCCGTGCTGTCACAAATGGAGAAACAAGCGGCAGCCACCAGAGGCCAACCCACCCCCACCTCCACCACCAGATCCAGAGGACGCAGGCAGAGAGATAGACTGGAGGGACAGGACGACAGTGTGCTGTTGGAGATCAGGGACACAATGAAGACTAGCACAGAACTTCTCTCTCAGCTGGTCGACTTGGACAGAGCATCCTCGGCCCGGAAGCCCTTCATCACCTACGTGAGCCAGACCCTGAGGGACCTGCCCGAGGCCGAGTACCAGGTGATGAAGCAGAAGATCACAGCACTTTTCCACAACCCTCAAGGCCCAGCTGAAGTTCGTCCTACCCAGTACAGGTCTGCTCCTCCACCCCAGGCGACGTCACAGCCCTTCCACGGCTTTCAACAGCCCCTCACCTACCAAGGCTACGACTACCACGACTTCCCACAACAGAAACAGAACTTTCCAGTCCAGGCCCATGTTCATCGGACGCCACAGACGCCACTCCTCACCCAGCTGCAGACCAGACAGCCCCAGCACACTCATCCCAACCCTTCCTCCACCCTAGAGCCACTCCTGACCACACCACCACCTGCTGTACCCTCGAGGCCAAGCACAGCCACAGTCACTGCCTTACGCCTCACAGCTGAGACCATGGACATGACTCAGAGTGACTCAGAATAGTTTGAGAGACTAAGTTTTGATTGTGAACACTTGTTGTGAACACTTGTGAGCAGCATTGTTTACTTATAAAAATGTTTTGTTTACTTAATAAAGTGTTGGCAAAAACTTTGAAAAATTGGCTAAAACTTTGCATTTTTTTGTTTTCTTAATTAAGTGTTGGTAAAAACTTTGAAACACTTGTTGTGAGCAGCATTGTTTACTTATAAAATTGTTTTTTACTTTGTAAAGTGCTGATAAAAACTTTGAAAAAATGGCTAAAACTTTGCATACCTTTTTGATTACTTAATAAAGTGTTGGTAAAAACTTTGAAACACTTGTTGTGAACACTTGTGAGCAGCATTGTTTACTTATACAAATGTTTTTTTTACCTAATAAAGTGTTGGTAAAAACTTTGAAAAAATGGTTACAACTTTGCATTTTTTTGTTTACTCAATAAAGTGTTGGTAAAAACTTTGAAAAAATGGTTAAAACTTTGCATTTTTTTGTTTGATACAGTCTGAACAGGTTGTGGTTCTGCTGTTGAATGAGTGCAGCTATCATATGGACTCTTTGATCATCCATGGTGGAGAACAATTGATGATGATGTTGAAGACCAAGGGTGATGAGGTCTGTACACCACGGCTGCTCGACTCATACAGAGATCCAGATGATTTTCTCCCCCTTTTCATACAAAATATCGGTTGTCCGCTAGGTGTCCTTCTACATACTCTAGACATCCTAAATATACGAGATACATCCCAGATACAAACGCTTTGTCCGTTTTGAATACTTTCTATATGAGATGCATACGCTTACATCCTTTCTATTTCCGTGCTACTAACGATGTATAGAGGTTCCATGTACCTTATCTTTCCTCCCTTTTTCCGTTTACAGCTGCAGCGGATGTGAGTTGCGAGGATGCAGAGAGGATACAGCGGACGTTGAACGGATGATAACGGACATAGAACGTTCGTTGCTCGTATTTGTCGCGGATTTACATCGTACACGGCGGAAAGTTCATCTGTTCTAAAAGTTTTTTGCAGCGGATGAAATCACAATGGACGGATGCTCGATGGATAGAACGTATGAAACACGTATGCAATGAGTACACAACGGATGCATAGCGTTTTCCAACGGATGGCAAGATTTTTTTTTACGTTTTACATCCTCTTTGCATCCGTAAGTGCAGTGGGACCGGGCCATTATCTTAACGCGTCTAATAGTTAACAATTTAGTTGGGATGAACTATGAATAAAATATTTCATTCATTTGGGATGAAATATGACAAAGAAGTGTTCAATCATTAATGTAGGAGAGATAAATCTAATGAACATTAAACATGAAAGTATTTGAAGAATATCTTTAATACTCTTTTAATACTTACCTTGAAAACTGATAAAACTTTTGTCTCTTTTATGAAAAATAGATTACTATTTGCTATGTTTCAAGTGGTTATACTGATTAGCCATCTGATCACAACATTCATGTTTTCTATTCATAAAAATACAGATCGTAATAAATATCCTGATCTCATATTTCACTAAGTCAATTTTCACTTTTGAACATGGTAAAGATCGATACCGTGCATAACGAAAGACATTCAAATAGCATCTGTTAAAAAAGGATTTTCTGGACGAAATCACCATCATCATCAATTTTATGTACAAATAATACGTGCATAATACAGGTACAATTTTCTTTTATTTAACGTCACATCTTTGCCATCTTTAATTTATGCATGGAACATGCTTAGTTTCATCACTTATCTAACACGCTATTGAAAAACTCAAACAATCACATCTTACTGAAAAGTTGTCTAATACAAGCGACAAAGCCAATGACAGCATTCATCTTGCAATGGAAATATTTTTTTTGTACTATAAAGTCATACTTTGACAAATTTCTTGTGAGTAAAAAATTCCCCCAAAATACACCAATTTGGTGGAGGATTGCTTCCTCATGAATAGTATCTTGCACAGTCTTCGATTAAAGGTAAAGACCAGTATTGGAAACGCCCCAATTTCAAAAAATGAAATGGAAGCTCTCATTACCAATCATGTGAAAGAATATGTTTTGACTAATACATGATGATAAAAAAATTTGCCGGGAAACCGCCTACTAATTCATATATTTGGTAAATTTGTTTCATGGTCTGTGAGAGATATAGGGTAGTCCCATATACATATTTCTGTGTATAGTGCTTGTAACTTTACAAAGAATGGGCCAAATTTCTTATCATTTTGATGATTCCAGAACCTTGCAGATGCTAGATGCTAGATGATCAACCTTTTCTGATCGATTCCACAACGTTTCTTTCACAATGCAATTGCATGACCATAACTGGTCTTTACCTTTAACTACACTAAACAAATTCTTAACTTCAATTACCCTGGACCAAACACATAAACTTTACCCTATACCCTTTATCAAAGACAAAGTCAATTCCTGAGCAATGGTCGCCCGATCAAAACTCGAATCACCTCGCCTCGGTTGGTGCCACTTCAATTTGGCTTTGTGTATGCATGATGGTGTTCTTCAAAAAGGGGTAAATTTCAGCAACTATAAGCGCTCGCCGATTTTAAATTCTTTTTTTTTTTAATTCGTAAAAGAAAATGGTGCATTTTGTAAATTTGAGCTGGATAAGACCAAGACAGGATATTATTCAGATCATATTTTACACCTGTTTTTAGGCAAAAAGGGTCTTATATTGTTAAAAATGTTCTTGAAGGTATCTAAATCGCGGGTCATTTTCAACTCCACTATCCTTGTAAATTTGAAGTGATACCGCCGAGCTCCTGTCCCTTATCCCTTTCTGTTCTATCTTTCACAGCAAAAAATAGGAATCTCTCAGTGCAAAACTAGGAATAAAGTCTATTTTGTAAACTTTTCACACATAATATTTCAGAAAAAAAGAGGATTGTAGGGTTCAAAACAGTAGTTTGAAGGCCAAAAAATAGGAATAATTCCTCCAAAATAGAAATGGTTGACAGCTAGGTCTATCCTAGGTCTATAAATCAAATCCTCTGTTCTACATTTCTCTACACACACACAATAATCACAACGGCCGCATAGAAAAATATTTATGTTTGATCTGAGTACAAGTTTTATTTTCAGCATTGAATAATTAATATGAAGTGGATCATTTACAGAGTAACATTATTTTATACAAGGCTTCATTTCAATCGAGCAAAAATAAAAAATAAAATCAGAGTTTGTATACAATTATACAAAATAGGGGTTTGGGTCTACAAAACATATGTTTAGATATCAATAATTACATATATAGCATCATCTATACAAGATCGACATATGAAAGGTATACATATTTTTTCTATATATATAAAACATTGTAAAAAGACTTGAACATTCATACAAAAATACCACTCCCCTCTCCTATAATTCAAAGTTGCATATTTCCATAATTAGTAAATAACAAATATTCAGTATTGAATTGAAAGAGACAGGTCACATATAAACAGTGTGCTATTTGTGAAACATATTTGTGATAACATACAATTGTAAATCAATTTTAAGTAGGCATTTGTTAGTGTATGATCAAGAGCCTTCTGGCTATAATCATTGGCCTTTGGAGCAACATAAAGCAGCATATCAATGGAACACACAAATAGAAAAATACAAATAAAACTACATTTCGGAGTATTTCAAATACGAAACGGATTTAGGTATCTATATCCTTTCTTCATATGTCATTCTAAATAGTAGCTATATTATATAATCTATACCTTCATGCTAACTTGCAATGTGCAAAGACACAGTTGCCAAACGTTGAACCCAAATCTATGTGTGTATCTTTAGGTAATTTTCATCATATCACATCTAACTAAATATCTACCACTAAACTAACTTCTTAAAAAATATATCTGAACAACATAACTTGTGAAAGATGAGAATGAAATACAGCAAAAATTGCCTGTCACATGCTAATACACCTTTTAGACCTGTTCTTCAAAGCTTAATAATTTTCATTCCAGGCAAGAAAAAAGTGCATTAATGTCTTTTACATCAGAAGTTTTTAATCTCAATTACTATTTTCGTACCCATACTCCAGCAATCCAGATACAACAGTGAACTCATTGCCAATGAAATCGTGGGGCTCCTTTATTCAGAAAAATGGAAATGAGATAATTCAGTAGTAAATGTGTTATAAGGATCACTTTTTGCTGATACAGGAGCAAAAATAGCTGCAAAAGTAGAGTCGTTTTAAAGTGCAGTATGAAATGCGTTTCGAAATGTAGAATAGCTATACAAAAATAAGCATCAATCTTCAAATTGGCAATCTACGAGCTGCATTATCCATATAAACAGTATTGCTTTGAAGGCATATATTGCTCAAAGAATGCATCATTGAGAGAAAAAAAATTATCAATGTAGCCTATTGGGATAGAAATTTATTTCCTAAATGAGTTCATTCCTCTCAAATCTTACATGGTGCTCTCAGTACCATTTGCTTTCTATCTGATTGTCACACAAAACAAAGCAAAAAAAACAAAACAAAACAAAAACATCTACAGGTTAAGCTAGGGTAAGCCAGACGTTATACCAAAGTCACTATCCCACATTCAGCATAACTCTGCTTCTTTCTTTAAAAAAAACTTTTAAAAACTGTCATAACATACAGTTAGTTAGCAATTTTGTCTCAAAACCACCCTTAGAATGCCAATCCTGATATACTACACCTTTTAAAATATGTCATTGTCTTTTAAAAATCGGTTCTAAATATCACCCAAACTTTTTTGGATGAAGTCATCTACACCAAGCACAGAATTCTTAATTTTCTACCTCCAGTCCAAACTGTCTACAAATGCCAATGGAACTCCCCCCTCCGCTACAATGATAACTGTAGACAAGGTGGTCCTTATAGACGGGTTCTACAACATACACTTTCTCTGACAGAGAATAGTAAACCGATTAATTTACATGTTAAAAAATAATGTGGCAGACCTTTAACAGGTTGTAGTACAAGAAAATGTTTACAAATCATTTAAAAATAACAAGTTTCTCAAATGCCAGTGTTATTACCAATATCAATATGAAAGCAACTATGGTATACAGGAAAGTGACTTACTTGCAAGCATTTTAATAAAAAGTCACTATTATCATTTTAACACCTACAAATTGCATTGAAAAAATGGTTTGGTTGAAGATGATAAAATTGAAAGCGAAAGCACAACTAGTAGACAGTTGAAAGCAAATAAAAATTGATATATTTCCTCACTTTTGATAACATAAACATCGACAGTCAAATGGTACAATTGTTAAGTCTGTGAATCTTACAAATTAAAACAGTATACCCATACCATTCTATAAGTACATATTGAACACACTGCAAGTATCAGAGTGAGAAAACAAATTGTCTTGAAATATGAAAGAAAGAGAAATATTTTCAAAGAAACTTGTAAATCTTTAACTCAAAAAGAAGTAAATACGCTTGTATCAATTCATAAGTACATATCAGAAGCAGAATTATGAAAAGCTTGCCCTGTGAATTATTGTGAATTATATGATTTTACAACAACAATGATTAAATGTACTTTTTGGTACATTTTAAACACACTGCCCATTACTGCTGCAGTCAGTATAGGTCTACGCGCCTCCCCCGTATCAACATTACAATGATTTATTCCCTCTTACGAGCTGTTCTCACAAATGTTACCACCCACACTGCAAGTTGTGAGACTAATAATACAGCGACATGCAGTATCAGAGGTATAACACCTCATTTATTCAAAAGATACTTGTGAAAAATAACTATAAAAAAAACAAAAAAACAATGATATAAATTTTTAAACATACATGTATTAGTGAGTTGATGAAATTGATAAGTGACAATTTTTTATTTTGGAGCAAGATTGTTATGAAGAATATAAGGATACATCACACACACATACATTAAGATCGTTTTGTTTGGCAATATGCTTGTAAAAGGCTTCATGTAAATAAGACACAACCACTGCAATATTTGGCGTGATATTATAACAACTCTAAGACATTTGGCAATCTGGTGTCACATACCACCATGATTGTTGGCACCGATTGTCAAACCAAATTATCATTAAAAAGAGTATTTCAAAAGATATTCTTTTACACATCCTAATTTGAAATATGTATCAAGTAATAAAATATAATTTATCATGAAGTCGCATTGATGCTAAGTGTACATATAACCCTCTTTACCCCTGTTTAAACCAAACAATTCTAGCAGCTGTATATCAGAATTTGCTCAATCAATTATCAACTATCAATTTAAATTGCTTCAGTACAGCACGCTATCTTTACAAAAAAAAGCCTTGCTTCTGTATACCTTCATGAAGAATGTGATCTTCTAATTTTTTATATTATTTCAAACGTCAATTTCTAAGTACGTGACTATTTCGCTTGATGAGGAATGAAGTCCATTTAGCTCTCTTCCTTATGACTTCCTGCTTATCAGGTGACTGGTATCAGGTGACCATTGCACCACATCATGTGACCTATGCGCTCACCATGGGAAGTTGAATCCGGGACATGCTCGGTGCTGTACAGGACACTGTTAATTGTTAAGCAGGGCTCCTACTTAGCAGAGCTGGAGCCTCGAGTTGTGGCGAGCTTATGGCAAGCAATGGTAATTCTTGATATCAAAAATTCGTTTTCGTGATATCAAGAATTGAACTCTTGATATCAAGAAATATGTTTTAATGATAAAACTGCTTGCCATAAGCTCGCGCGAGCTGGCCACAAATGGAGGCTCCAACTCGGCTAAGTGGGAGCCCTGCTTGATGAGACCTTCTGGACTATTGTACTTGTACTGGTTGCAGTAGAAAGCATACAAGTTGGTGGGAACTGTTTGGCTTCCTGGACAATATTATGATGCAGTCTTGATTCCATCAACTTCTTGCTCCACTTTTTCCATTTTAGGGTCTTATTCAGGCATTGTTATCAATTAGATAATATATCTATTACCATGACTGCCATTCCTACATATGGATCTGAAACTGTTTCTGATTAAGTGGACTCGTCTTGTGGCCCACGTGCGCAATCTGAAACATCAACTCACTGAACGTTGGTATAGATCCATGCGGCATCAGCGAAAGAAAAAAAACTATCACATATGTGATAGTTTTTACTATCACTCAAACTGTCAAGATAGGCAATCTATCATTTGTCATGAGACCTTATTTAGACCAATCCCATTGCAAGATTTATGGTGTGTGGGATATAAATCCAGTTATGCGCTCAGTCCCACAAGTAGACTTCTGGTGTTGGTCAATTTTTTCAGTCCAGGGTCATCAGTAGATAGGGACTCCTACTTTCAGGATGGTTTTACCTTCATCTTGTGCCAGGATGAGTGAGTTGGTCATGTGATGCTCGATGAGCTGCACCGGAGTGTCAAATGCCTAAAATGTGGTAAATAATGATAAAATTAATAATAGTCATAATAATAATGATAACAGTACTACTACTACATCTATATACCACTACTACCACTACTACTACTACTTCTACAGTCAAACCTGTCTATAGCGACCATCCAAGGGAAACACAAAAAGTGGCATTTGTAGACAGGTTCCTTTAGTACATGATTCAATGAAAAAAACAAATGTGGCCTTTGTAGACAGGTGGTCTTTATAGACAGGTGGTCACTAAAGCAGGTTTGACTATACTACTACTACTGCTACTGCTACTGCTACTACTATTAATAATAGTCATAATAATAATAATAATAGTACTACTACTACTACAACTACTACCACAAAATAATAGTCGCTGTTCAATGTGAGTTATATAGCTTAATAATAATGATAATAATATAATAATAACTCTGTTCACCAAGGGAAGCCTTATCAGCTCTAATGCTGTTCTTCCTCAGGGCCATGTAACTATATCAATACGTACCCCAGCAATTGCCAGGTATCCATTTACACCTGGGTAGGGAGTGGCAAATGTGCATTAATGTCTTGCCAAAGCACGTTAATGCCGGGTTGGGATGAGAGCCAAGTGAGTGAACTACTATACCACTACACCTCTATCAGAGGTGTCATGGTCTAGTGGATATGTCACCGGCTGTGGATCACAAGGTCCGCGGTTCAAGTCCCGCCGCAGCACTAATGTCCTTTGGCAAGACATTGATCTACATTTGCCACTCTCCACCCAGGTGTTAAATGGGTACCCGATAGAATGCGAAAGCTAATGTGGTTAGATTAGCAAGTGTGCGCTTGTAAAAATGACGCCTGGCTGGAATGCTCCCCAGAGAGTGGAGAATGTGCATACATTGTGTGCGGGTAAGCCTGAATCCAATGACCGGGGTAATAATATACTTATCTGTAAAGCGCTTTGAGATGGGCTCCGGTCCTGAAAAGCGCTATATAAGAACGAGCTATTATTATATTATTATATCATCGTGTATCATTATCAATTTATAGAATTCTCACCAGTTCATTGTCCTTCCTAGACCCTAAGGCGTATCTCTGATCTTTCCTCTTTCTGATCTGCAGGTTTCTCACCCGCCCGTTGAACCACAGAGCCAAAGAATAGGGGTTTGCTGGGTCACCACGCGTGCTATTCCTCACAATGAATGCACCATCCTGATTTGAAGAAAATAGAAAAATAAAAATGAATAAGGTTCATATTCATTGTCCATTTAACAATGGAAATTCATGGTATGTGCATTTGTGGTACAGTCAAACCTGTCTACCGCGACCGCCCAAAGGAAACACATAAAAAGTGGTCTTTGTAGACAGGTTCCTTTAGTACATGTTTCAATGAGAAACCATTTTCAAGGGAAACAAAAAATGTGCTTGTTGTAGACAGGTGGTCCCTAAAGCAGGTTTGACTGTATTTACATGGTATGTGGCAGCACAATAATCCAAACAATGATCTCAAACACCATGAGCACTATTTCTTACATTAAATGCATCATCTTGATTGGACTAACGGCGCTGATTTTAATATCATTGTTATTGTGAATATTATAAAGAATATAAACAGAATTATTTTGACATAATAATAATAATAATAATATTAGTGGTTACCGGTACTTGCTTAGAGAAAAATACATGAAACAAACCAAAGAGACACAAACATAAGAAAGAAAAAACAAAAAAAGTGAAATACTCCTAGACATAGTAAATTAGACTATTGCAATAATTACAACGAAAAAAAAAAAAGTTTTCAGTTGAGATTTGAATGTTTCTGTTGACGACAGTTGACATATTTTTAGAGGGAGTTCATTCCAGATTTTCGGACCCATGGCTAAGAAAGCCTGATCGCCCCAAGCATGTTTTATTTTAGGTGAATGAAGCAACAGCGTGTCTGATGACGAGTGGCATGAATGGCTTGCCATAGTTAAGTCCAACTTAAAGTCAGTCTTAGTCTTTGTGAAACGCCCCCCTGGTGACATATCCACTAGACCATGACACCTCTATAAAAAATAGAACAGCATTTTCAATCTGTTTGGTACTAAAAATGATAGCATTATACAAAATCTCTACCTTCCTGCACTGGTGTAGGTATTTTTCAGACTCCTGTCTCCCGATACCTCCATTGTACCAAGGATGTCCTTCTAGTTCATTCACCTGTAAGAAAAACAAAGAATTTTCTCATGAAAAAAAATACAGAGAACAAACTAATAATCATTATCTGTTTGTCTAATGGCCACCAAACACTTTAAAGGGTAAGTCCACCCTGATATCAAGTTGGTTTTAATAGAAGCAGAAAAATGAGAGAAACAAGTAAGTGGAAGTTTGAGCAAAATCCGATAAAGAACAAGAAAGTTATTAATTTTTGAAGCTGCAATAAATCAAACACAAATTGGCAACTCTGTGAGGTACCTTGCAAGGTTCCTCCCATTTGCTCTGAACTAAAATAAACCAGAATTATTTTTTCCCCTAAGAATAATTTAAATCATACATGCATGCTAAATATAATTATTACAATATGTTTCTCTACAACTCCTGTATGAACAAATCTATTTCATCATCAATACCGTAACTAATAAAAATCAAAGCTATGTCAGTGTTGCCAATTTGTGTTTGACTGATGATGACAACTTTAAAAATTCATAGCTTTCTAATTTTTTATTGGATTTTGCTCACACTTTCACTAATTTGTTCCCTTTATTTTACTGCTTTTATTAATACTAAATAATTATCAGGGTGTAATTCCCCTTTAAGGCTCATACAGATATTGTGAGGTAAACCAAAGCAAAAAAATACAGCGCATGTTCGTAATGCTTAAATGAATGACAACTGCGCCCAACAAAGGTCGTACACACATTTACTTTATAGCTCTGTATTATAAGATACTATAATGTGGTATGTATTACACTTTACGTCAACATAAACAAAACTACCGGTTTGCAGTGCTATACCTGAACAAGGATTTAGGACCTTAGGATGAAAAATTTATGCACATATATGTACCCTTCTGTCAACTTTCGTAGGATAATATTTTAAAGGGAAATCCACCCAAATAGACAACCACTCTTAAAAGAAAGCAGACAGATCAGAGAAGGAAACTGATGAAAGTTTCAATTAAATCTGCTTAAATATAAAGAAAGTTATGCATTTTTTAAAGTTGAAATCGCTATACATACTTCAAATTGGCTGAAGAGCTAATGTCAATAAGATGTAGTGTCGGACTACTTTCCCATCTGTTCCAACGTATAACATGACTAAAATATTTGTTTCTTTCTCAAAAGTTCATGGCTCAGAAGGGTCTACTCTTTTTAGAGGGTCTACTCTTAGAGGGTCTATTCTTTTTAGAGGACCTATAATAATATGTATCTACAATACATTTTGAGTAGTGCCCCGAGGGAGAAGGAACTTAGGAGCAAAACAGAAAATCAGTGATATTTTTGTACACAGCAAATGGGAGAGTTATCCACGTCCTACATCACGATCCACTGACCAAACTACCAATTTGAGATTTGCATAGACTTAGTGATCTCATATCTCAAACATTCATAACTTCCTTACTATTGATTCAATTCATTTTAAACTTTTGCCATTCTGTTTATGTTATTTTTCTGCCTTCATACACAACAGTACGAAAATACTCTACCCAGAGGACTGTACTTGCACTGGAAGAAGAAGAAGAAGAACTCAACTTATTACAGGAGTTGGAATGCCTTTTAACAACCTGTAATAAGGCCAAATATTTTAAAAAACATGTTTAGCGTCCTGTTTTTTTTTTAAATAGGAAGGAGGAGGCCCTTTTTTTTTTCTTTTTTTTCAAAATGGCCGCTCGGTAGATTTTCCCTGACAGTCGGGCTATTTTTCAAGATGGCCACCAACATTTTTTATTAAAAAAAAAAAAACAGAAATAGATCAATTTTAGCAGTGTTTTTCATGTTTTTTCTTTGAAAAAAAAAAAAAAAAAAATAGGAGGCGGCCCCGAAAAAAGGAAGCGGGCGGGGACGCTAAACATGTATATTTTTTTTAATGGCCTAAGATTGCAATTTTCTCACCTGTTGGGGCTGTGCTGGAGGTACGTGTACTCTGCTAGGGCTAGGGGGTGCTCTTGATCCACTTGGTGCTGGTTTGGCTGGTTGAGATGGTGCGAGTCGCTCGTTTATCTGGTGAACGGATGATTGGTTGGGCATAGGAAGCTGGGGCTCTGTCGATGCATTGGGATATGAGAAGAGGCAATCTTAAATTTTAGTAACAGCACAGGTGACAGTCAAACCTGTCTACAGCGACCGCCCGAGGGAAACACAAAAAGTGGTCTTTGTTGACAGGTTCCTTTAGTACATGTTTCAATGAGAAACCATTTTCAAGGGAAATAAAAAATGTGGTCCTTGTAGACAGGTGGTCACTAAAGCAAGTTTGACTGTATATGCATTTGTTGTGTGTCTTTATACATTTTAAGAACACTAGTTATGTTACTGTGAAATGCAAGATAAAAATTAGCAGATGAAGTAGAACTAAATTTCATATCTGTAGTCTAGTAGACTTGCATGCCCAGACCTAGCCTTTAAACAAGGCCACTTGTCTGATAGACGCCGAGCGACTAAAACGAGACTAATCACGAAAACCCAAGTGAACGAGAGAGCGAGAAGCCCTTCCAAGTAGCCTTTATCAATCTGGTTTGGATTTCTTATGTTAACCATTGTTTCCGACTGGAATTCGCTTCAGAAAATGGAGCGTCCAATCAGCGAACGTATCCTCGCACGACTTCAGCATATAGTATCCATCACACACACAGACACACAGACACACACACACATACTCACACAGTAAACTCTACGTAGTACGAACATGGACCTACTATGAACTATTACGTATACGTGCTAAGACCACTGACCTCTACATGGAACGAATCACGAACGAAGCCGTTATGATTGGTCAATAAATCCAAAGTAGGCGTATTGGCATGCTAATATGTATCTATGAATAATTCATGCGGAGCAGTGAAACCTACATTGCAAAAGGCCTCGTGACATTCGTCACTCGGTCGCGCGTTCACTCCGGGTATCTAGACTCATCTCAGCCGCTTAGCCAGAGTCACGAGGCCTTGTCAAAAGGCTAGCCCAGACCTGGAAGGGTGCTCATACATGTATGTACTTATCCATAATGGCATCAGTACGGCCAAGACATACAGTACTGCACAAGGGTTTTGTAAATGTTCGTAGTTGTGCCGTTATCAGCATGTAATGCTGACCTCCTGACCAATGATTTGTACTGTACAAAAGAAGGGCTATTAGATGTGTATTACCATGTATTTCTGGTGTGGCTATGTCAAACACAATGTAAGCTTGTATTGAAATGTAAGTCATACCTTCATGATGAGTGCAACTTATTATGACAGGGGTGATAGTGAGGATTAAAAAAAATTGGCATCTAACATTCCCCCCTTTTGAGTAAGAAAATTGGGGGAAATTGGGAAAAATTGGGGAAAATTGGGGAAAATTGGGAAAATAGGGGTAAAATCTGGAAGAAGCAACAAAAAAAAACAGGGGAAAAAAAAAAATTGGGAAACCGATTTAAATTGGAAAATTATCAGGCCTATTATGAGCCCAGAAAAGGTATTTACAAGAGAGCTAAAAACCAACTGGATCTACAACAAGACAAAACATCTTAATAACTCACGTGAGGGTCTCCTCGTTCCTTGTGGAAGAGGGGGCATCTCTGACTTCCATGACTCTGACTTCCATGGTTCCTTGCGCTGTCTAGCTGGTGGGCCACTTTCACTTCCACTGGAACTACTGCTGCTCACGGAAGACACGGATGCCGTGGATGATGTCGATGGTGGTATTCCGGGTTTCCTGGGCACCGAGTTACCTCCCTTTGTGACAGGTCTTTGGACAACAGAAGATGGGGTATGCGTCGGTGAGCTGGGTGTCGGTTTATAGCCGATCTTGGCACGAGGCGCCGGTCTCCTGGCACTGTCGGTATTGTTATTATCTACTTCGAAGCGATTCTTCATGTTCTGGACAAGGCGCGAGGTCGTGTCTGATGAGGCATTGCCGTTTTCGTTTTCATTGTCAATGGTTGATGGGGGTATCGTCGGGATACGCTTAGCACGCGGAGGCGACCTAGAAGATTCTGGTCTTGCGCTCTCTGTTCCGTTTGGGAAGACAGGCATGAGTTTGGGGCTGTGTGAGCTGCCTTCAAGGTTGTGTACCCTTAGGCCTCCCTGGGGTCGGGAGGGTATCACCGGAGGGGCGTCCACAGAGCCCGAGAGGAGATTATTATGTTTTTCAGGTCTGGGAGGTACATGAGCTGGGGCTGCACCGGTTTGAGGGACGGTCGGAAGACGTCTGCTTTGTATATGCTGCTGGACGTTTCTGCTTGGAGGCTGGACTGAGGATGCACAGAGAATTAAGAAACAGCAAATAATTAGGCCTCATGTCACACAATAAAACTCAACCAAATTTATAATAATAATAATATGTCTTGTTTACCCAGGGTAGCCTCTTCAGTATCAATACTGTTCTCCATGAGGACCCTCCAATCATATCATTACCCTGGCTTTAGCCGAGCTACCATGATGAGGTGCTCAAACATTCAAGGAATTTCTTCCTAACAGGTACCCATTAACTACACTAAGCTTCGTGGAGAATGGCAAGTGTAGATTAATATCTTGCCGCCGGGGGACTTGAAACGCGAACCACGCGATTCACGGTCTAGCGACGGAATCACTAGACCACGGCACCTGCCAATACATGTGATGTCCATCTCTACAGCCGACTTACACGTAAAGCGGGATGATCCCATTGGGATTTGATATCTGTACAGTATAAAATCTTTGGAGTTTTGTCAATGAAATGGTGACATGGACAAAACCACATTTGTATACAAGCTTCAGCAAAAATTTACATCAAAATCATTCTTTGAGAAGATTAAAAACTATACGTACTACCAGTTTCAATGATAAAAGCTGTAAAAATATTCTTTCATTAACAAAACCTGACATGTGTCTGTCAGAGCAGAGACAATACATATTCTAAACAATGTCCATCATTTTTTATTTAACATCATCTCACCAAGTTCAATACCTCCTTCAAGAAGCTTGTAATAAGCCAGCCTGCTTTTTATGAAAGCTTAAATCAATAACCTTTCTTACAAAGTCCAATAGGTGGTATGAAAGAAATTCCCAACTACAAAAGTACCAAAAATATCAAATAAATCAGGAAATTGTTACTTACGATCAGGCTCCAAATAATTCTCATCTCCTGACGAACCCGCCTGTAAAAATATTGAAAATAAAACATCAGTAAAAAAAAGAAGAAATCTTGATTGAATGAATATATCCATTAGCAGTTGTCACATTTAAGAAATAATTTATATACAGATTAACCAACAAAGTGCAAGGGGAGGGTGGGGGGGGGGGGTATAACTGCTGTGATATGATCATGGAAATCTTTTCTTGTCAGAGGTTCCAACACTTGAACATCATTTAATACCGAACACTAAATATAAATAAACATCTTTAAGACAAAAAAAGATATATGAAATAAAGACTTACACAATTCATGTACACCTGCATGTGTTAAAATATCTTTTACTTTTGAGCTTTATTTGTATTTGTTGACAGTTAAGATCACTGAATCTTGTGTTGTTGCAGACTGAAACAGGCTAAAACGAATCACCCCAACACCCCCCCCCCCAAAAAAAAAAAAAGAGGGTAGAAAGAAGTAGGAAAAAAAAAATTCAATGGATATGCCCTTACCTCAGGTTCAATATAGTCTTGGCACTCTTCATCTAAATGCAGTTAAGATAAATTAATGACAAAAACATTAAATTAAATTTTCAAACATTACAATAAATGATACAAACAGTAAAATATATTTGAAAGGAGTATAATGCAGAAACAGTGAAATAACATTACAAACTGTAAAAGTCAAAGTAAAGGAATTTGATAAGACGTAATGTGACAAGAAGGACTTATATGTTATGACTCCAAATACATGTCATATCACTATTCTTTAATATGAATGATGAATTCATCAGAAATTCCCTACATAGTGCATGCATAGTCAGCACTATTAAAAGCACACTGTATGTGCCTTTCAAAACAGTAGTGTTTCTCAGTAAAACCACCGCTTACAATAATTACATCTGGATTACATACAAATAATAATTCATATGCGTTATACAAAAGAAATGTGTTTATACAGAATGTCTACATATATTTTCACAGAATATACAAATATTGTATCAACAGGGGATGTTTCACAAAGACTAAGATCAAATCTAAGTTGGACTTAACTATGGTAGGCCGTTCATGCCACTGTTTGCTCTTACCATTTACTGGCATTGGTCTCTCAAGAGGCGTACAATTTTGGTCTCAAATCTACATCATTTACATTTTTTTGATAATTCATTATTGAAGGAAAAAATATCTAAAGATCACAACGGTGAGAGCAAACAATGGCATGAATGGCCTGCCATGGTTAGTTCCAACTTAAAGTCGATCTTAGTGTTTGTGAAACACTCCCCAGATCTCTCAATATAGATTTACATCTTTGGATGGAAATTACTTTTAATCTACTTTACTTTACCTGGAAATGCATACTCCTGTTTTAAAAAAAGATGAGAAGAAAGACAAGAAAGAAAAGAAATAAAATGAGGCGCATGTTAGATATTAAAGTAGTGTATATATATATATATATATATATATATATACATTGTGTAAGTACAATATTTTTGTTTGGAAAAATCTGTTAAGATAAACAAACAAACAGTTTAAATTAAAAAGATTTAAATACATTTTTAAAAAAAATTAAGATAGTTCCTCAGAGATGAAAAATGATACTGAAGAGAATAAGAGAATTGAGAAGAACAATAAGATCTAAATAGAAAAATAATGGAAAATCTACAGTTTAAAATAAGAAAGATATAAATAAAATTTTAAAAAATTAAAATAGTTCCACAGAGATGAATAATGAAACTGAAGAGAATAAGTGAATTGAGAAGAAGAATAAAATCTAAATAGAAAAATAATGGAAGGGAACTTCCAATCTATTGGCTGACACTTAAGGACTACTTAACACAATATGTAACTTTTTGTAATGTCTAACAATGGATTGCTTGATAGACCAACAGCGGGGTGTTTCATAAAGCTGTTCGTAAAGTTACGCATGACTTTACGAACGACTTGTATATGAAGTGCCAGATAGGACGCCCATAGATTTTCCTGATGCTTTAACAAAGTGTGACTATATTTCCAATAACCTCAATCAAATTATGGCAAAGAAATATACTTTGCATTAAAAATGTTTGTTATGATAAGAATGTTAATCTACATCTGCACAGTTAAACTTTAGATGATGCAGTTAATAATGATTGAGCATCCCATTTGGCTTTTTATATTTAAGTCATTCATGAAGTCATGCGTAACTTTACGAACAGCTTGACAAAACACCCCCCAGGTTACATAATTATCAAGGTGCTAATAGAACAATGAAGAGGTGTTTATCAGCTGTTAATAGGAGACAAAGAGCAGGTGGGTCCAATAAGCAGGGAAAACTACATTTGAATGATGACCCTTAGGTTGAGTAAATACATTTTGCGAGTGTGAATAAAGTATTCAGAGAACTATTGGAGAACTTCATATTTTTTATTTTATTTTATTTTCTTCTGCATTCACGTAATATACAGTTTTTCGATAACAATAGTAATATAAAGTACAACAAGTATTTTTCTGACAATGAATCATAAATACCGGTAAGCAAATATATAAATTGTTATTTTCAAAAACGAAATGATAAACTGTCATAAATACTAAACTTCCTCAAACATTATAAAAACATAAAATTATTTGCCGAAGAAGGACTGTCATTGTAAGCAAATTGCTTGATGATACGACAGCCCCAAACAAAACTCATGTAAAGACCAGGGTGATAGTGAGCACTAAAAAAAAAAATTAAAAAGGCATCTCACAACATTCCCCACCCCCCCCCCCCCTTTTGAGTTTTGAGTACGAAAATTGGAGAAAAAAAATTGGAAAAAAAAATTGGTAAAAATTTGGTAAAAAATTGGAAAAAAGGGCAAAATAGAGGAAATGGGGTAAACAGCTGGAAAAATAAGGGGGAACTAGATGGAATTTTGACTGCGCGCAGTCGAAAATGATGCCTCCGCCATAGAGCAATTTAAACAAGTTTGGAGTTTAAATCTCCAGTGGTTCTTGAGATATCATGATAACAATCTCAATGTATGGAATTTCATAAGTTGACCTCTGTGACCCTTGACCTTTGACCTACGTGCTCCAAAATCTAATCAGATTGTCTTCCTATGGTGATACACACTATCATTAAGTTTGAAGTTTAAATCTCCAGTGGTTCTTGAGATATTATGATATAGTGATACATACTATCATTAAGTTTGAAGTGAAAATTCTCCAGTGGTTCTTGAGATATCGCGATAACGATCTCAATGTATGGAATTTCATAAGTTGACCTCTGTGACCCTTGACCTTTGACCTACGTGCTCCAAAATCTAATCAGATTGTCTTCCTATGGTGATACACACTATCATTAAGTTTGAAGTTTAAATCTCCAGTGGTTCTTGAGATATTATGATAACAATCTCAATGTATGGAATTTCATAAGTTGACCTCTGTGACCCTTGACCTTTGACCTACGTGCTCCAAAATCTAATCAGATCGTCTTCCTATGGTGATACATACTATCCTTAAGTTTGAAGTTTTTACATCTCAAGTGGTTCTTGAGATATCATGATAACAATCTCAATGTATGGAATTTCATAAGTTGACCTCTGTGACCCTTGACCTTTGACATACGTGCTCCAAAATGTAATCAGATTGTTTTCCTATAGTGATACACACTATCACTAAGTTTGAAGTTTAAATCTCCAGTGGTTCTTGAGATATCATGATAACAATCTCAATGTATGGAATTTCATAAGTTGACCTCTGTGACCCTTGACCTTTGACATACGTGCTCCAAAATCTAATCAGATCGTCTTCCTATGGTGATACATACTATCCTTAAGTTTGAAGTTTAAATCTCAAATGGTTCTTGAGATATCGCGCTAACAAACTCAATACAAGGAATTTCATAAGTTGACCTCTGTGACCTGTGACCTTTGACCTACGTACTCCAAAATCTAATCAGATCGTCTTCCTATGGTGATAAATACTATTCCCGAGTCTTAAGTTTAAATCTTAAATGGTTCTTGAGATATTGTGATAACGGTCAAACGGGACGGACGTACGGACGGACAACCCGAAAACATGATGCCTCCGGCACCACCTTCGGTGGCGGAGGCATAAAAATGGGGGGGGGGGGGGGTGGAATCGGGGAAAAAAAAACAACAACAACAAAATCTGAAGAAAAAAAATCAAAAGAAAATCGGGAAATCATCAGGCCTGAAAGAGGATTTACCTGTTCTTCCTCTGGAGTGATTGGTCGAGGCGACACCCGGCTTGGAATGGGCGGGGCTGGAGGGTTGATAGTATGGTGATGACCCCCTGGCTTGGGAAACTGGGGTGTCCTACTGCACAATGAAGAGCCCAAAAAATAATCAAGTCAAGTTGGAGGGTTTTGACAAAAATAATTCTTTGCAAAACCTCCATGAAATACATCAAAACCACCTCAGAAGGGCGTCAACTCATATACTTTAACACAGGCTTAACGCCCTTCTGTCTCCAAACAGACGGTATAAAAATACCACCCGTCTACAGGCCCAAAATGACCCTTTCTCTTTCCCACAGGCAGTCCTTCTTTATAGTCATATATGTGCAATTGAAAGATACATGAAAATGACTGAAATGTCTTCAAATTTCACTGTTCCGCTTCCTCCTTACGAACGACATGATGAAATGTTGTTAAGAATCGCCTAGAAACACGATACAAAACTGTCACAACTTTGGATTTTATTCCAATTACCTTTCAGACATTCTGAAGCGAATTGAGACCAGTACAGCTCTAAAGTCTATTAAATCCAACCTTCAAAAGCTACAAGCTGTGCAGGAGGTACTAGCTATCTCATGTTACAATACCCTACGATGACAGCCTAATCAAAGACTAAACAATATAACATAGATTCCAGTAGCTAAATTCAAATTGAATAGCGATCAAAGGGCATTGTTTTCAATGTAAGAAAAATAAAAGAACTAGATGTATTTTGCAATGTCTGTTGCATTTTTTTTGGCATGAGGAAGTTATAAAGCAAAATTCAAAGTCTGATTAAATGCTCGTGATATCTTTTTGGAGCCAGCAGGGCATACACTCATGTACTTCAGCATATAATAAATGCCCTTCTGGCAACAAATTTATACCAAGTGCTGTACGCACACATATAAGCTCACACATAAAGATAAATGTATTACCGGTACATAGTATACATACACACTTCATGTACTTTCAACTGTTTGATAATGAAACTGCTATAACATTAAAGATACTATTATACATTTCAACCAGGTCATTAAATAGTTGAAGTTTCAATTATTTTGCTATATAGACTATGGGAAAAAGATAACTGATAATAGAACAAAAATGTTGGCTTATTAATGTTCATTTTCAATAAAAAATAGTAGGAATTCTATTTGTGCTCAGTATGAATAATTCATTTGGCCCTCTTTTTTCAACGACAAGGTACTAATATCCTTTGGCAAGATATTTACCGGCATTTGCTTCACTCCACCCAGGTGTTAAATGGGTACCCGGTAGGATGCAAAAGTTCATGTGGTTGAATGAGCAAGTGTGCGCTTGTAAAATGGCGACTGGCTGGAATGCTCCCTAGGGAGTGGAAGATGTGCATACATTGTGTGCGGGTAAACCTGAATCCGATGACCGGGGTAATAATATATCTGTAAAGCGCTTAGTAGGCATATCGTTGCATACTTATGAAATTCAGAAAACGGAACGCACATCACAAATCATGTACTGTACGCTGCAACTGCACTGAGCACTGCACGTGAAATACGTATCTCGCATATACGGCCGGAGTCATGCAGTGATCATGAGCGATAGTGCTAGCGCAATGCGTGCACTCTGTACGGTGCCTATGACTGAGGGATCGTGCACTCTATGGGCACTCTACGCACACGCGGACTCATTATTACACAGCAAATAGAGATCAGCGTGGCGCGCAACAAGCACGCACGCTGCATGCATCTTGCGCAATACAATCCTTCCAGCACTCATCGTATCAAAACTATGGAAAGCCAACTGATATTTACACTACATGTATAATTCCCCCAAATCGGAACGTTCTGTTTTTCATGGCTCTAAAAACTTCAAAAACGTAACAATTCCATTAGAAACGGAACGGTTGGCAAGTCTGTGTTGTATCGATGTATTGGGCGCTATATAAATTAAAGCGGAATATTATTATCATTATTATACTCACGCAGGTGGAATCCTAGGACCTTGTTTCACCCCATGTCTGTTGTGTTGCTGGCTCTGGAAAGAGAGAAGAGAAAATAGTAATGGTTAACTACTAAAATGAATCTCTTCTACAAATTTCTCTTCCTTTGTACTATTCATAACATAAATAAATCTTCCACAATTAGGAAAAAGAGGAAAAGGATAACATGTAGACATGCAATATTGGCTCCTCTGCTAAATGATAATGTAATATTATAATTTCATCATCATTGTTCTAAACTATTGTCAGCAAAAATTTGCAATCATTATCTCCACACTTTTCATGCATTGAATGCAAACATTATTAGGGATGGGGCAAATCAGCTTGTTTCTAACACTGATCAAACATTGTACCCCCAAACTAATTTTCAATCAAAATTATTCTTTTTGTAAAGTGAAGGGGAATGGGAAGGATTTCTTAAATAGTCTTATATGTATCTTCCCCCGTTTTCTGATCTTTACAAAACACATCTGGCCAAGAGGATAGTCACCCCTTATTAAGAATGGGTAATTTAATAGCTACATCCTTTTACCTTTACCCATCCCAAGATCACCCCTCCCATCCTTCCCCTACCCCCCCCCGAAACTTTCGCGCTCCCCTTCCTTTCTTCCCTCCCCCATTCTTTCTTTCCTCCCTCCCTTCCTATAAGTTTCTACCCTTCCTCTCTCCTTCCCTTTCTCCTTCCACTCCCTTTGTGTTTATTTGTCTGCCAGCTAGTCTACCGGTATCTATATTCTCTCTTTCTCTATTTCCCCAGAGCTCCCCCTCTTTTTCCAACTAAATCTTTCTCTCCCAGCAATTTTTCCTTCTCTCCCCCCTCCCCCTCCCTCCCTCTCTCTCTCTCTCTCTCTCTCTCTCTCTCTACATGTACATTTTTCTCTAGCTAAGACACACTACTCCTCCCTTCCCTTCTCTTCTCTCCAATATAATAATAATAATACATGAGATTTATATAGCGCCATTATCCATTTTAATTAAATGCTCAAGGCGCTATATATATTACAGTAAACATTATATGTGGCACCGTTTTATTGAACACATCTATTCATAAGATCGAAATGACTTTCAAGCCACCGACTCATTTCAGTACCCTACTGTACAGCCTCAATAAATCATGTTTACATTCTGTTATGTAATAGATCACTGTAGTAGTGTTCACCTATTTCAAATGTGATGCACAAGGCTACTGAAATTGACTTGGTTTTCGAAAGTCTTTGTGATATTAATTGATATTAACTTATCATCAATATTACCGTTGTATAATTGTCACTAGGAAATTGTAATTAAAATTATGTTTTTAATGTATATTATTGTTCAAGGTTAACATTACTTTGTATTTTTGTTAAGCGCTTAGAAACATTGTATTAAGTGCTTTATAAATGCAATATATAATTATTATTATAATAACTTTGATAATAAATAAATCTACAAAGAGGTGTACCATGACAAGAATTTCCTCTTTAAAACACAGAGCTCATTTCAATACTCGATTGTTCTGGAATCGGAGTGTAATCGATACCCCCACCCCTCCTTGCAACTGGAAGCATTATATTAATGGACAGATGTAGGAATGGGGTAAGAGGAACTTGAGGTAATTAACACACACTGGAATGTGCTGTGCCAGAGGAAGATGTCTTTAATGTGAAAATGTCAAGATAATTATCTGCTTCCTCGCTTTGGTGGAAGCAGAGGGGTTGGAGAGCCGCTAGCTGGTAATAACAACACTCGTTTGGACACGATGAAATACATGAGAAATATGGCCATGCATGCACCACAAGCCTGGGTTTTGCATCATGGGTAGTACCTCAATTGCATGGCACACGTACGTGGCAAGGACAACTCTCCTTTGGTCAATTTCCTACACTAACTCAATTCCTAACCTTAACCCTAAACCAAACATGAATACCCAATTAATCTTGACCTTAACCTAATAAACCTAACCTAAAACCTAATTCCGACCTTAACCCTATACCCTAACCCGTGTCGATCCACACTAACTTTTTTGGAAGGGGGTCTGAACTGAACTTTGCAGTTTGTATGCATGTTCCCTATGTTAAATCTCTCTTTTTCCTTTTTTTCTCTCTCTCTCTCTTTTGTTGTTGTTGTTGTTGTTGTTGTTGTTGTTTGTATGTATGTGTGTGTGTGTGTGTGTGTGTGTGTTTTTTTTGGGGGGGGGGGGGGGGGGGTGTCTGGACTTTTAATGTCAAGCCCTAAGGTTTTGATAACCAAATCAATGGTCTCATTTTCCATTCCTCGATTATTACTGACACTGTTCTCATTTAAAAAAAAAAAAAATCTTTTTCTTATCACTTCTATAAAGAAATGATATGAAAATGATATGAAAAAGAAAGAAAAAAATGCAGTATTTGTTATGAGAGCAATAAATGATGACAATTAATTCAAGCAAGTCCAATTTTCTCTGAAAGTTCACACAAGAAAGAATACTCCTATATTTTTTTTTCTAATTTTCTTGACTAATCATGCATTGTCGCTAAAGAATTTGATGTAATATACTTGTACAAGTGGTATGTTCCACAAAATACACTAAAACGATACTAGGAAACCTCAAATTCATCTCACGTCAATATTCAGATTAACGAACAAATTAACCCACAGTATCACTTTAAATACAGTCAAATCTGTATACAGCGACCGCACAAGGGAAACAAAATATGTGATTGTTGTAGACAGGTGGTCTTTTTGTAGACAGGTTCCTTTATAGTACATGTTTCAATGAGAAACCATTTTCAAGGGAAACAAAAATGTGCTTGTTGTAGACTGGTGGTCTTTGTAGACAGGTCGTCACTAAAGCAGGTTTGACTGCACTAGGTTAGGGCCTCAAATATTGTCTACAACACTTCACGATAATGAGGCTGGTGCTAAGCTGGTGCATTCTGCTTTATGGTCCCTTTATCCTTGGGAAGGAACTTTGGGCCTGTCTTCATCAGCTCAAGATTGCCAAATATCCCACTATTTGAACTATCCCGAACGCAAATTATCCAGGTAATTTGCATCTTCATCAGCTTGATCAGCCCAAATTTGCAATTAGCAAGATATATTCGGTCAAGACAACCATCCAAAGATGTCTTGGGCTAGTTTGCAAAATATCCTGCTTTTTGTCCGGTGCACCTTCACCAGCCCGAAGACTCGCACTATACACGAACGATGAGCAAAATATCTCAAGCTAATTTCTCAAGCTCAAGTTTCGAGTTTCGAGGTCGAGTTTCGAGGTCGAGTTTCGAGGTCGAGTTTCGAGGTCGACTCTCGAGCTGATGAAGACGCAATTTATAACTTCGTTCTTATTTCCTAAATCAGAAATAGCGGGCTATTTGGCAATCTCGAGCTGATGATGACAGGCCTCATGTGCTTGTCTGTCTTAGCATGGATTTTACCAATTAACAGGAACCGCTATAAATATACTGCGACTTGGCCTCAAGACGTGCTACATGCATAATGGTCTGAAATAGGTAGTGAGGTATGAAATACCGATGATTGAGAACGACGGAGAGGTGCTAATTTTCAGCTGATTAGCGCTTTTGTGGTTTATAGCTGACATAATCAGAACAGTTTATGAGACTAAAAAATTAAGGTTTGAAGCAACCACGTTAAACACAGGTGGAATCTCAACAAACAACTTCTTTTCTTCATAAATAAGATACACAAAGGGATCTGCATTTTATGTAAATGTGTAAATGTGTCATTTATTAGTGGTTCTTGATTAAATAAAGTTTAAAAAAAGTTTTTTTCAAAGTCTTATTTCATTAATTTTTACCTTGGGCAACAACTTAAACATAAGAATAACTTTATAGATGGTTTCTTTCTTGAAAAATTGTCTTTTTGCCTTATCATTTCCAGTCTTAGAAATAAACAAACTTTCTATCACCATTCTATGACTTTTGTCAGCAATCTCTGGACACATGTAAGCCTTACACTGCTGTAGGCAGAACTTATCTACTAAAAAAAGAAAATAAAGCCATTATCTTTATATTTTGAATACGTTTACAAATTATTAGATAAATTTTAAGGTACATACTTGTTCGGTCAACACAATCAAAATGAAATACTGAAAAGAACCATACTTTAAAAATTGTTTCATAAAATAACATTCACAATATATGTTTGTAAACTTGACAGCAAAGTATGGATAATTGTACATGCTCATATCAGTGCTTGCCATATAAGGTACATATACATCTGTTCAGAGTCAGAAGGCTATTAGTTCTTTGTTTGAAAAAACAAATTAATGGCGTTCTGGCTCCAAAGAGCTGATAGCGACCTCAAGACAAAAATAAGACCATCATCAAATCAATCCAGCACATATCGTTGGCCGGCTGGCAGAAGGGCGTTAGTGCGCGAGCGACTCGAAAACTACTTTTCAAATTATTCGCATTTAAAATTTGTTTTATATTCAAACTGCTTTCTGTCCGGAAAATTGGTTTAAAACTTAAAAGACTATAGTAGAAATGTTATAGTAGAACACGGCCACAATTTTTTTCTTCTCGTGAATAAGTCAGTTTTATAAAAGTTTGTGATGATTTAGTGCTAAAGCCCTTCTGCTAACCATTTTTGACCTGAAATTCGAGCCAACGCCCTTCTGCCAACCAGGCGACGATATAGAACCTATTTAGAGCCCAAAGGCTGTCAGCTTATGTTAATTAGTGTACATGCATATGACCTTATTGCCTTCTTGGCTCTAAGCAGAGGTTATATTCCTCAAAACAATAATGTGGCAATCATTAGGCACATAATAAAACTTGTTTGCTATAGAAAGATGTCATCTCCCTCTCTTCCTACACTGAGATGCCAACACCAACAATAGTCAGATGGAGGTTATATTCCCAGAATTCCATCTTCCTCAAAAACATGTTTTGGAATAGACGAGAGACGAATGCAACTGGGATTTCTTTTTGTTAATCAATGACTGTCGTCAACCTCAGGAAGTGATAATGAAATCGGACAGATCACTTCCTGTTGACCCATGTCTCTATGAAACATCTGGGAATTTTTCGTTAAATCAGAAATTATTTAATTTTGA